TTGCCTCCGGTGTGCTTCGGATTGCACGGGGAATCAAACCCTCGACCCTGACCCCTAAACCCTAGACCCTAAACCATGGGCTGCAAACCCTAAGTCCAATACCCCAAAAGCCCTGGTTCATGTAGGGGCCTTCATAATTAGAACAGGGTCTTGGGGCCCATGATACTATAACTATATTAAGGAACCTACCCAAAAAATAGTATTGGTAGTTATTCAGGCCCCAAACCCTAAACTCTAAACCCTGAAGCCCTTAACCCCTAAACCCTAAACCCTAAACCCCTAAGCGCCTAAACCCTAAACCCCTAAACCCTAAACCCTAAACCCCTAAACCCCTAAACCCCTAAACCCCTCAACCCTTCACCCTGTTAAGCTGCGTCGAGCTCACTTGGCTAGTCAACTCCCGTATCCTCCCACGCCAAGCCCACGACAGGTGCAGATTCACGACGCACCTTTTGCGCAGGCCGGTGTAGGGTTTAGAGTTTAGGGTTTAGGGCTTAGAGTTTAGAGTTTAGGAAATATTTTCGAGTTTAGGGTTGAGAGTTTAGGGTTTAGGGCCTGTCGGGACTTCGGGTTTTGTGAATGGGGCTTAGAATGTGGGGTTTACGGTGTTAGGCCGTGAGTGGTCTTAAGGATGCTAGCACACTGGGCTTTAATCTCGGCACAGCCGGTAAGCATAGTACAGTATGACGAGCCTAAAGGCCTGCTTTAGTTAGGGTTCCGTAGCGTGTTTTAGCGGGTTAATATATGGGAGCATAAATAATTACCGCACATTATTCCTCAGGGTTCCTTCTCATAAGTATACTATGCAGGAGCCCAGAAACCCCATTCTTATTATCAAGGCCCCTATATTGGGGTTTCTGGATTTGAGGATTGGGTTTAGGCCCCAAACTGCTGGGATTCTGGATTCCTAAACCCTAAACCCCTTAACCCGAACCCCTAAACCCTAATATCTGTTGCACTGTGGGCAAGTGATCTCGCTTATCTAGTCTTTTCCCGCAGCTCTCTTGTGTGGCTTGAGCATCACCTGGTGCTCATCGTGTCGTGCTGAACCTGCGGCTTCCTGGGATTCCCACCTGGCGGCTGGACCATCCCAGGAATCTGAATATGGCCCCCAAGTTTGCTGGCAAGTGTCGCGCCCAAGCTCGTGCAGCCTCCCCCAAAGCGACTCCACCCAGGCTAGCGCGCGTCGGCAAGACGGACCCGACAATAGAGTTGTTGTTCTTGCCGTGCGTTGAGAACGGTCAGTTCGCATCGAGCGACTTCTCGGAGACTCCTCTTTCAGCGCTTGTTGTCGACCTGCACCTGAACTGTTAAGCCTAAACCTACGTTTTTAGGGTTCCTGTATGAATTCTGTATATAAGCCCCTATACCCTAAACCCTAAACCCTAAATCGTACCTTTTTAGGGTTCCTTATGAATTCTGTATATAAGCCCTGAAAACGGTAGGTTACTTGGGGTTAAGGTAAACCCGACGACCCGGACCCTTACCAGGACCCCCCCCCCAAGCGCCCTTGAATAGAGCCCTTAGGGTCCCTAATAGGGTTTGGGGTTTAGGGTTTAGGATTCAGGGTTTAGGATTTCGAGTTTAGGGTTTACAGGGTAGTTTGGGGGCCTAGGTAACCCTATAAACCTCCCACGCAACTCTAGCACGGTATGGGCATCCTACACCGTCAGCAGAGGAAGCCCCACCCTGCGTAGGGTTTGGGGTTTAGGGTTTAGGGTTTAGGGTTTAGGGTTTAGGGCTGAAGGTTCATGGTTGGCCGTGCGTAGGGCGCATGAGTATCATGATGCTTGCCTTCATTGACCAAGTTGTTGAAGGCTCCCTTGCTGATGCCGTGTTTCCAATTATATATAGGGGTAATTCTCTAAATTAGGGCCCCAGTTTAGGTCCCCAGTATAGTACGGCACCAGTATAAAAAAGGACCCGAAAAGAGACCCTAATTTAGAGAACTACGTACCCATAGAGCTATGGGTGAAGCTTTTCGATGTAACATCACCACAAGTACTCAAGCAGGGTCATGCCCTGAGGCCACAGATGACCTGAGTTTTAAACCTTCAAAACCCTAAAACCCTAAACCCGTAAAGCGCCAAGACCGAGAACCCTCCCTGAACCCTAAACCCTGAAGCCGAAACCCTTATCCCAAACCCCGAATTCCCTAAACCCTCTAAACCCTGAGCCCTAAACCTTAAAGCCTAAACTCTTATCCCCAAACCCCTAAACCCCTAAACCCCCTAAGCCCTAAGACCTAAAGCCCTAACTCTGGGAGCTAGGATTAGGGGGACTCTTGGGGATATAGACCCTCTCAATAAGGTCCCTTTCAAGAGAGCCAAAAGTAGGGTTCAGAAGGGGTACCAGTTAAGGGGTACTCCTAATAATACTACCTACTGGACCAAATCCGAAAACGAGACCCGAAACCAAGGGTTTAGAACCCAGGGGCTTCAGTGGGTTTAGAGTTGAGGGGTTTAGGGTTTAAAGGTTTGGGTTCAGAATTTAGGCTGTAGGATTTTAGGGTTTAGGATTTAGGGTTTAGGGTTCGGGGTTTGAGGAAAATCTGTGAAGAAGCTTGCAGAATCCGCTATAGAGCGCAGGTTTTTGGGCCATCAGCAATATAAACCGTAAACTCCGTTTGTGGTTTCAGCACCCAGGGTTTCGGGTTATTTATTTATTTTTATTTTTTTTGCGGGGGAAGGGGGGGGGTGTTGCTCGGACACTTAACCTACGGCTTGAGGTCAAGGTCTTGGTTAACTGGTAAACATTTGCATGCACTCATTCATATGTGTGTTGGCTCGTTCGCCTTTGTTCATTCATTCGGTCGGTCGTTCATGCGCTCGATTTTTCTTTTAGTCCTTCACTCAGTCTTTCATGAATTTACTCATTGATTCAATCTTGCCTTGACACATTTATAATTTATCCATCAATTCGTGCACGCAGGCAGTCAGTTAGCAAGCCAGGCAGGCAGGCAGTGATGAGCCAGTACTTTAAGTCAGTAAGTCAGCCTGCCATTCACTCATTCGCGCGTTCACTCTTTCTTTTTCGCTCATTGATCCAAACATTCATCCGCGAAGTCCCTGTGTATCGGATATTTCGTTTTTGATTCCTGGATGGTGGTTCGTTCGTCTACTCACTTTTATCTATCTAATCTATACATGGGTAGTTTTCTATTTCAGGGTCCCTTTTGAGGTCCCCAATATAGTACGGCACCCTTATAAAAAGGACCCTAAAAGGGAGTCTAATTTAGTAAACTACCCACATATTTTGTATAAATGCACAGCTACATCTGCCGGCCCTGGTGGGCCTGGAAGACTTTGTCCGGCATCTTACCTGAGCTTGCACGGTTTAGGGTTTAGGGAACTTGTGCTAAATTGTATATACATGTCTTATTTATAGGTATGTACATGTAAGTAAGTGGTGGAGAGAGAGCCTGACAGATCTGGGCGTAGTTTTAAACATATATATATATGTATATATGTATACATACACACACACACACTCGCACACTTACAGACAGGCAGACAGACAGGCAGACAGACAGCCAGGCAGACAGACAGACAGACGGAGACGGAGACGGAGACAGAGACAGAGACGCAGACGGAGACAGGCAGACATATCTACATACACGACTTACGACAGTGTACATATGTATATATATATATATATATGTCTATACACATACAAACATGCATGCATGCATGCATGTGTGTATATATGTATATGCAGGTATATGCAGCGTCACTACACTGGGCTTTGACTCAGTTCACTCCTGCGACGAGTCTGTGGATGCATTCAACTAGGGTGGACAAAGGCCAGGTACAGGGGCGAGGCTGGCTTGAAATTAGGGCCGCCTCATCCACGGTCCGTATTATGAGGCGGAGAGGATCCGATGTATCTTTTGGATTTTTCAATCAAGGCCACCGAGCTTTCTAGGTTTGGGATTTCAAGGTTTCATGGTCTAGTGTAGTTTTAGGTGAAGGATCTGTGCCTCAATCGCTCGGGCTTTTCTGGCCTTTTATCCTTTACGCTTATATTGTTTGAAGACGGCCCTACACCCTAAACCCTAAACCCTACTAGGCTTTACACTTACCTACATTGCTTGAAGATGGTTGAAGGTCTAGGATTTGTGGAACATGTTCCTGCCAAGCATATTCATGAGCTGTGCACTCAGGAATAACATTGCCCCGGACAACGCCCTGGAACGGGCCTTCGCGGTCGTTGTCAGCTGGACGGCAGTAGCAGTAGAAATTTAGTCAGGTGTGTCACCAATAGTTTCCCAGAGACCCCAATATCCTTTAATTAAGGAATATACCTTAAATTATAGTAGGATCCCTAATATCATTTAAGGTATGTTCCTTAATTAAGGGGTATTGGAGTCTCTGGGTTAGCAGCCTGATCACTATACCAAGAAAATGAAACACGAGGCCCTATGTTTACCGCTGGCTCAGCATCGACTGACGAAGAGGTCTCAGATGAGTCCTCAATCCCAAGCCTAAACCCTTCGTTTAGCTTGAACTCAAAAACCCTAAACGATCGTAAGGGCCTAAACCCAAAGCTTTAGTTTAAACCCTAACCACCAACCGTGAGTTTCAATGTTAAACCCCATATGCTCTAAACCTGCTTTTAAGGGTCATTTCGCCATTTCGTCCGTCAGGAACTACCTAAAGCCTCTATTGTAGTTGCTTTTTGGGGATACCTTGTAAAATCCTTTGTATATATACATATATATATATATATTTGGTTAAACCCCCAAAAAGGAACTACAATGGAGACTATAGGTAGGGTTCATTCAGCCCGGAGGTTCCCCGCTCACTTCGTCCCCACAGGTTCGGGCTGGGATTTAACCTGGAGGGTCGGGGGAAGTAGGTAATAAGCAGACTTATACGCAACCTAAAAGGGACTCTAATTGGGGTTATGCTACGTATAAGTCTTCAAAATAACTACTTACTAAGTCCCC